GATATTCAATACATACCATTCCAATAGTAAAACCAATACACATATCGGTACGATATTGACTACTTTAGCTCTAATACAATAAAAGTAGAGGTCAACAGAGAACCCATCTTATCAAGATAATCAGCGACCGTAGTCCTTTCCTGATAGACATGACATGAGAGTGTGCACCTCCGGAAATTGGTGCGTAAAAGTCATGCAATCATCAATCAACACAGCGAATGGAACTTCTGGTCGTCAGTGTTGAGCAGTATATGAGCAACTTTGAATCGATTTAAGAAGAAGTTTAGAACAGGTCCTATTGACAACCAGCTCCAAGTCATTATGAATTGCTAGGGCTGAGCATTTTGAAACCGAATCAATACGCTATCCGAAAATTGAATCGAAAAATGAATTTGGTTCAATTTCAATGATTTTCAGTTTATAGTATTTTGATTTGATGTTAATCAAATAATTTTTAGATCAATTTTAATTAAAATTTTTAAAAATTAAAAATTAAAAATAAGTTTTTGAAAATCAAAATTAAAATATGATAAAATATGAGATAAAATATAATTTATTATTAAAAAAAATAATTAATATTTATTTAATAAAAATCAAAATCAAATCGATTTTATTGGTAACTGAATCAATTGGTTTGTAAAAATTTTGGTTCGATTTTGATTCTTAAAATTGATGAAATTTTTTTTGATTATTTTAAAATCGATTTTGATTTTAACCAAAATCAGTTTTTGCCCACCCTATGAATTGCCCATAATTCAGCAGCTAGAGAGGGGGTATGGCCAACATTATGGTGGGCAAAAACCGGTTTTGGTTGAAATCAAAACCGATTTTAAATAACCAAATATTTTTTCTTGAATTTTAAGAATAAAAAACGAACTGAAATTTTCACAAACTGATCGGTTTGATTATCAATAAAATCAATTCGATTTTGGTTTTTATTAAATAAATATTAATCAATTTTTTCTAATAATAAATTATTTTTTTATCTCATATTTTATCATATTTTGTCATATTTATTCAAATTTTGATTTTCAAGAGGTTTATTTTTAGTTTTTGATTTGTGAAAAGTTTAACCGAAATCAAATCAAAATTTATTTGGTTAATATTAAAATCGAAACAATAAAACTCAAAAACCATTAAAACCAAACTAAATTCATTTTTTGAATTTGATTTTCAAGTAACCATTCGGTTACCCACCTGAATGCTCACCCATGCGCATACCCCAGTGTCCAATTCCCCAGGTGATCCCTAAACACTCCCCCAGCGCCAGCTTGAGCAACTAGTATATCAATTTTCACATTTTTCCTGTATTTGATAATGCTTATAAAATAAACCAGACTTTTTTATTCTGTGTTTTTAAGTATAAAATAATGATATAATAAACATATTTTTTATAATTAATTTTTATAAAAAATATAAATATTAATTTTGATTTAATAAATAAATTAATTAAAATCATACATATTCAATAATATTAATATATATTAATTTTTATAATTTTTAATGTAAATTAATTAAAAAGATATATTTATTATACTCTTAGAGTCTGTTTGGTATGATTGGAACTTTTAATAGAAATATTGTTGAAAATATTGTTGGAAAGAATCTGTTGTAAAAGTGCTATTTTTGAAAAACTGAAAGTGTTTAATAAAATTTTTCATAGAAATACTTACAGAGTGAAAAATTGTTTGATAAATTTTTTATAGAAGATCTTTTAATCTTAAAATTACTGAAAATGACATTTTCTTTAAAAAAAGCATTGTTTCTCTCTTCTTCTTCTTCTTCTTCTTTTTTGACATTTTTATAGAGTTTTAATGCTTTTTTAATTTAATTATATTAAGGTTGATGATTACAAAAAAGAAATTATATTTATAAAATATAACTATTAGTAATTAATAATTTCATATTAATAGATAAATAAATGTTTATATTTTAATATTAAAAAATAAAACATAAAACATTTAAGTTTTATAAATAAGAGAATAAAAATAAAAATTGATAATAACAATCATCTTAACTTTCCATTAAAAATGAGAAGAACATTTTCCTTTAAAAAATATTATTTCTCTCTTTTTAAAAAAATTTAATTATCAAGAAATCTATATCATTTATCAATAATTCTATAATTATTTTTATTGAAAAAATAAAATCTAAGTACATCATGATATCATATATACAATTAAGGTCTTAATGATAGTCTAGTAATTAAAGTACTCTAAAAAAAGCCACTACAATATGATTTGCTGGACAAATTCTCACTTTCAGGCTCAGGCGCTCAGCCAAGCTCATTCTTTCGTTTGTGACTCAAATTTAGGATCTCTTACTTCAAATGAAAAAAAATAATCACTGACTTATTTCATTATTAAATCACTATTATATCATTAAACAACAATATTGTTAAAATTAAGAGTAGCCCTTTTTTTTTAAGTCAAATGTGTTAGGTTCTCTTTGTATTTTAATGATGATTTCAAATCATGATTCAAAAGAGTTTAATCTATTTTTGTGCTAAGTGTGCAGGAAAATTAATACAAGGTTTCTAATATTTCCCCACGAGTAGAATTAATTCATGTTCTCCTTGTTTAGAGTTCTGGGTTCGAACCAATTTAATTTGGTTCGAATCAATCCCGAACTTTTGTTTTCCGAAAATGATTCGAACCAATATTTCTGGCTTTGAAGCAAAAATTCTGGAAGGTTAAATTTTGACAGCTCAACTATCTGTTTATTCTTAATGGATCATAGGGTATCTAAATGTCTTAGCACTTTCCAAGACAAGTCAAAAGAAATAGGTGGAACCTAATTGGGGCAATTGTGAGGTGGCTTTGAAAGGCTAAATGGGCTTTAATTGCAAGGCTCCTAATCAACTATTAAAAGGACATCAAAAATCAGATCTGCTGGAGATGAAGAAGGACGAACTGCTCCAGCAATACAGAAAAACAGAGTTTGTTTTTGAAAGTGTTCTGGATCTCCTTCTTCTTCTCTTCTTGTGAGCTTTTGGGTTAATTGTCTTACAAGGGTTTTGTATTCTTTTTTTGATTGGGATAATCCTTAAAGGGGTTGAGTGAGTTGAAATTCACTTGTGAGGGTTTAATCTTGCACCCGCAAGCAAGAGTTTGTTCTGGTTTAATCTTGTACCCGTAAGCAAGAGATTTCTAGTGAATTGAACTCTCAAGTAAGGAGGCTTGGGGAGTGGACGTACTCCGGATTGAATGAACCACTATAAATAACAACTTGATTTTCTTTTCCCTCTCTTTTATTTTTCTGCACTATATTGCTCTTGTTTGTTCTGCACAACAGCTTATATATATATATATTGAAAACTTCATTCACATTTTTATAAAGAAAATAAAATGAGTTTTATATCTTAAGAATTGAGGGATAGTTAGCTGGGATTACAAAATGATATGTAAATACTACTACCATAAACCTTTATTAAAACTACTGAACACACCTTGGTAGCTGTTACATAATTTATAACTTTATAACAATTTCACGTTGCAGCGGAGGAGACCTTAACTTTCGAGTACCAATGATGTTTTAATTATAATATTATATAATATTATAAAATTAATATAAACTTAACATAATATTTTTTTTGATATTAACCTCTTCGTATTTGATAATCATATTAGATCCCAACTAATTTGAAATCGAATCAAGTTAAAATCGGAGAAATTCTTTTAACACTTGTTTCTTCATTCATGAGATTCGAATTTGAAATTTTATTTAAAGATAATCGAATTCTTTTTACTTGAATTGATAAATTTTTGGTATAAATTTAACATAATATTAATGAGTCATATGTGTGATGTGTTATAAAAAGTAAATATATAATAATATACATGTATTTTAAGTAAAAATAATTAATCATATAATAATATATTATATTATAAATTTATAATATTATATAAAATTATAATTATATTATTTTTATTATAAATAATAATAAATGAGACTAGAATTTTAATCAAAATATAAGATTAAAGATATAATTTTAGGATATACGATGAAAAATTCTTGTTGAATTAATTTTTTTTGGAGTTTTTCTAGGGTGTAGTTAAAATACTTTTTAATATTAATTAATATTAAAAATAATAAAATTTAATATTAATTTCATTAGTAATATTATATAATTTGTTTTAATTAAA